CATGGCCTCAAAACTCAACCAATAGCAATAACCCTCTACGGATCACCGCCGTAGTCTTGGTTATCACTCCACATGGATCGCTGCCATGCCCGGGTTATTATCATACCATCACATACGGATCGCCGCCGTACCATAGTCTCAAAACTCACTTTTAAAATATTTTTAGCACAGTCTGAGGTCACATCCTAGTCCCTAACTCAATTCTTTACTTCTCTCATCTTTCCAAACATCATGCCACAATTTAATTAATATCAAAAGTTCAACTCATTCTAACGGTCTAATAATATATATATATATATTAAGAAACGTCATCACATAACATGTACGTCATAAGCCATAATCACTCAATAGAAATTTATCAATCATCAATCATCATTCATCAATTATCAATCATCAATCAACACACATCATAAATCTGCAAGAAATTTAAGGCGTATATCCTAAAGTCGTAACCGTATGATATCTACGTTCTCTATCATCATGTCTAAGAGAATAGAAGAAAGAAGAGTTCTGTCGAATTCTCTCACCACGATATAAAACGATGAATCTATAAATATCCACTCTACTCCTTGAGCTCGGGTCCAATCTCGAGATTTTCTCCATCTACAATTAATTAATAGTCAATAATTCCTAAACATCTCAATTTTCGTAAAATAGATCTCTAATTTGGGATCATGGGATTGAAAGATTTAATTTGTCACCGGAAAATTTTCCGAAAACAATGTAGACAAAATCATTGCAGCGAAAGAAGAAAGAAAAAATAATAATAGTAATAAAATAAAAAAATAATGAGAAAGAGTGAGATACCAGCGATGAAACGCCGTGACGATGGGATCGGTCGACGAAAACGATGGTGAAAGTGAAACATTAATAATAATTATATGAGAGAGAAGAAATATTAGAAAGAAAAAAAAGAACAAAAAGAATAAAAAGAAAATGGGAGAGAAAGGGGGAGATTAGAAGACAAACGAAGATAAGAAGACAAATGAAGAGAGAGAGGTGTGAGATGGAGAAAAGTGAGAGAGGACAGAGAGAGATTGTACCTGAGAGAGAGAGATGGAGTGAATGAGAGAGAGAGAGCATAGCGAGAGGAGACAATAGGGAGAGAAAGAAGAAAAAGAAAAGAACGAAAACCCTAAAAAAAATTGCATATCATCCTCATTTGTTTTCATAATTTTAAAATTTACCCTAAATTTTTATTTTATTTTAGTTAGCCCTCATAAAAATAACATTTTTCCCCAAACTATTTAATTTTATCAACTAACATCTAATTAAATTTCTGAAAAAAATTATGTACGTTATATCTTTAGATTTGAATTATCAATTAAAATTTATGGATGTTTTCATTAGTTTTTTTTATATTGAATTACCTATAGACCTATATTAAAATTATACAAAAAAATGATCATATAAACACGTAAACACAATATTACAACAACAATCGATTACCCAACACCAAAAATATATACTTACAAAACTATATAGAATAAGTACACCAAAAAAGTAGATACCATATAATCACACATGACACAACTTAAATCTATGACTTAAATATTTGACATAATCAAACAATACACGATAGATTTTAGGTTAGAATAAAGATTATACTTAAAAAATTAATTCATTTGACAATTCATCCTTTTAGATGTATATGTTCGTTGGTTATTTGCAGATTGTACTACCGTTTCCTTAGAGTAATCATAAGCTAGAGTTGTAGATGTAGCTTTAGCAAAACCCATTCTTTGTATATAACCAGTGTAAGACAGAAAGGAAATACAAGGAGAAAACTTTCCAAAAACTCTCTCTCTCTCGTTTATTTTTTCTCTCAGCTCCGCATCCTCTGTTCTTCGTTCTTCTTCGCTGCTATTCAAAATCCAGTAAAGAGACCTTCTGCATAAAGATCAAAAGAGGTGGGGTCAAGTTTGGGCCCACCATTCTTTCCCAATGAGTTTTGTCGTATTGTTTTCGGCCTAAGAGAGTAGTGATGTGTGAGCTGGCCACTTCGGTTCGGTTTTTCACTAAAGTAAACCGAAATCGATAACACACAACTGTATCTGTATGTATGCTAAATAAATTTAATAAATTCAAGAATAAATATTTTCATTTTGATACTAAATTTTAATTGAGCATAAAAACATTGGAAAAATCTAACATGATCAATTTTTTTTTAAAAAAAAAGTTGAGTATTTTACGTTTTAAAATAAAAAAGAACAAACCGAATTCAACGACCTAATGGTGGTGTCCGAAAGCTAATAAGTGCAAATCAGTTGGTGGATGCTGCAAAAACAGAAAACCAAGTAAACACTCTCTTCAAAGATTGGCATATAACATGGGGTTCTGATGATAATCCCAATATTAACAGCAAGAATAAGTTTATATTGGATATTACATATGCCGAGAAGAAGAAGTGATGATCCATGTACGGAAAATTCGAAACCTTCTGCTTCCCCATCGATCCTTCTTGTCTTTGTAGTATGAGAATAAGCAGCATTGCACCCATGGCGAATTTCTTTCCGCATCTTCTGAATCGGTTTCCGGTCGCCCAGTCAGTCTGTTTAGCTTTTCGGCAATGGCCCCATCAGCGAGGTCCCCGCCGAAAAACCTCTCCTGCGCCCAAGGATATGTTGTACATAAAGCATTGAATTCTCATTGAAAAGCCTCTCAAAGTGTACATACATACAGGCACTCGCAGGACGAGGTTACCCGGTATCAACATGATGAGGATTCGGGTATCAGAGTTTCGGGCACTCGTAGGATACCCGCAGTACGGGTAATCATACCGACGAAACCCGAACTAAAAACCAAAAATTAAATTTTTTGTTGTCATCGGCCGATGGATGAGTATCCGAAATTTCACATACCCGACTAACGGATCGAACGGATACTCAAAATTTTGGGTCCCGATGCTCACCCTTATATGCATAAGCATGGACACAGCAGTAGAAGTGTTTACCCCTTCGTCAGCGTAAAGGGAGGCAGAGATTCTAGCAGTTGCATCTTCTAATATGAATAGCACCTTGTACTTTCCCTCAGAGTCGCGGAATTTCTCGACATTCCACGGATATGCAGCTACGACCCGAACTACACATCTGAATTTAGCAGTCACCTGAAGAAGTATATCGTCAAAACGTTAACGCGAGCACTACATATAGGCAAAGCAGCAAACGGTTTATCACATGGCAGTATACTATGGCAACTGGCAAGTCACTGAAACTGAAAGATAAAAGCGAAAATCTTAAAACCGAGCTTGAGATTCAATACCTTGTGATATGTGAGGACATCCATTAGAGTAACGAAAGGAGCGTCTTCATGAGCAACCCCTAAGATGCACTTAAAGGTGTATACTTGTTATGAAATGACTGTCAAGTATGTGTTTTGGCAAATTAGGGCAACTCGAAAACACGAGCTTATAACCTGTGATTCCAGAATGTGGGGGTCCAATGCAGATCTTTCTCCAAAGATCCTGACTTTGTAAGAGAGAATCTTAAAGGTAAGACCATATGAAATGTTGCATTTATCGTTCAGATCATAAAACTCATAAAAGAGTTAGAAACCTTTGGTGTTTAAAAGTTTGCATTTCCGGGTTCATTGCATATTGCATCTTTGTAAACTGAGTCAAGATGCCGCTCCATAATCCCGAATCTACTCGAAAGAGAAGGTTGAGAAACTTCAAGTGTTGGCCAGGCTTAAGACAGTGAATAGCTTGTTTATCACTAGCTTCGCCTACTTCCACCCTCAAAACGGATCCAACGGTAGGAAATTCACGTAACACATTGGTAGACAACTTCTCGGGTTCAACATGCAAAGGAACCCTGCATGCCCTGCCATTATTATGTCTAGTTGCGTGAGAAAAAGCTACCAGATTATCCAACGAGAAATCACAAATAATCATCTTATGAAAACAGAGGCCGGCCAAGATTCACTGGCATCTGCTATATAGACAGACTCACTTTGTCGAGATACTGCATGGTGGAAGATCAGTTCCATCCCAGATAAAGATGAACCACCTGTCTTTATCCTCCTTAGAAATGTGAACAATCTTTAAGGGAAAAGAAAAAACAAGAATGAAACACAATGTCAGAACATCGAAGTTGCATTCTTCCATTTTGGGCAATATATATATATATATATATATAATTGGGTACATAAACATAAAACCAAATCAAGATCTATCTAACCCAGACAGATAGGTTAGAACATTCTCCTTCCTTGACATCCTTCAAGAACGTGAAACAGCCTGACCCTAAAACAGAACAAAACAAGTCTTCAAACATGTGGGAACTGAGACTAGCCAAGACCACGGCATTTGAGAGCAAGCACTTGAAAAAATGAGGATTTTCAAGAACAAGAATATTCACCATCAATCTGAATTTCAGCGCACCGTCAACATGAGATGATAATGTTCACTGTTTTTGTCAAATGCACAATCAAAATATACCTTCTTTGAGTTTGTAGGTGATCTCCCATTCTCTCAGATTCGAGATGAAGTTCTTATCTTCTTCTCGCATCTGAAATTTAGGCGAAGACTGGTACGGGAAAAAGCAACCATCGCCTTTCCCTTTGAATAAAGCGAACGAGGAGAGCGTTTCATGAAATACAGCCGTCATTTTTCCATTGATAAGCATCATCTGCGCCACAAATAAGAAACCATTTAAAAGTATGAACCCTGAAGAACATTAATTCACGAATCTTTTGCATGAATGACCTCAAGAACAAATCAATAAACAGAGTCATGATTTGATCAAAACAATGATACGAGGACAATGGAACAATTCCACTCACAAATATGAACTCAACATTGCTTTAGAATATCATAATACGAAAGAAGATGGAGAATCGAACGAGCAGGAAATGAACCGCACATTTGTACATAATCGCATTAGAATGTTAGAGAAGGACCTTAACACGCGAAAGCAAAACTATATCGCCGATCAATTCAACCCGAGGAAGCGATTGGATTGTACGTGCGAGGAACTGAACCGGAAGACTAAATCCAGAACTCCATGGATCAACGATTTTAATAGCACAGGAACAACCTGGAACAAAAATGATCAAATGGGAAGGAACATAAAACCCTAGACTTGAGTCCTTGGATCTGAGAGAGGGAGCTGCAAATGATGAGTTTTACGAGGTTACGGTGCGGTACCGGAGCCGTTCGGAAACCCTAACTCGACGATGACGCCGACGAGATTCACACGGAGATGCAACGTTTTGTAAGCATCAATGATCCTGAGGAACTTGTAATCGTCCTTCATCTCAATGTCTGAGATGATCAGGGCTTCAAAAATGGCTACGAAGGGTTTTTGTAGGGTTCATGGAACAAGAATCAACCCGCGCTTTTCTCGTGGAACCTTCTGATTCAGTGAGAGACTGCAAATTAAGCCTAATGGGCTTACTTTTTGGACCAATGGGCTTATATTTATGGCCTTCCAATTTAAACCACATTGAAATTAAATCGGTTTTAATGTACTTCAACCAAATCAATTATTAAATATATACAGATAACCAAAATCAACTTCTTTGATTTTAATTAAAATTTTATTAGCTCAATTTTTAACCCAATTCGAAATAATGTAAACTAAATCTGAGATTAATTAAGCCAAATCCGATTTTCTTCAAACAAATACTCGTCATTGACATTTTTATTGTATCTTCAATTAAAATATGATAAATAAGAAACCACTTGAAAACTTTTAAATAATGAAACTGTCCACAGCATTCCTAAAATCTTGGATATCTCATTTTTTAAAATGAATTATTGGTAGCCCACTACTCACCATGATCACCACTAAAATATTATTATAAACATAATTATATTAAAAATAAAATAAAGAAACGGAGAAATAGAGTTGAACTTCAAAAGTATAAAATAATTAAACATATATAGATGCTCCGATCTATTGATATTTGTTTCCGGGGGCTCTCCAGCTCATTCGGATCTTCAAAGAGATCTAACTTGAAATTGAAAGCTACTACAATCCTATCATAGTTATGATTTTTTTATTCTTTATAATTTATATATATATATACACGTATATATATATATGCGTGTGTATGTGTGTGTGTGTGTTAATGACATGATTACATGGACATTAGGACAAAATCCAACAGAAATTCGAAATCCACAATCTTATAAATTATAGTTCTAAATACTCTTTATTCATTATTTGACTGTTATACCTAATATTGAATTTTTTTTCGTTTATATGTGACCCTTCCAATAACAATTGAAAGAAGAAAATGAAATTTATTAAAAGAATTTTGTGTTAAGATAGGAGCTATCATAATATAATTAACCATTTTAATATTTAATATATTTGAAGTATAATTTATGTTATAATAAGAAAATGTTTATTTAGAATTGTATTACGTTCATATGTAAAGAAAATACAAAAAAAAAAAAAAGGAAAACCGTGCCCCCACGCTTGCATTGATACGGATGCAAATTTGATGTGTTTTTATTTTGTCTCTATTATCCTTATATTTTATGAAATTTCTAGGGTTTTTTGTCGATTCAATTACGTTTTTTAATGTACCTAAAATGTATCTTCTGTGATAACATGTCGGCCATTCATCTTGCTCAGAATCCAGTCCATCACGAGCGCTCTAAACATATAGAGTTGGACTGTCATTTTATCCGGGATAGAATCAAGGCTGGTCTGATCAAGGTCCTTCATGTTTCTTCCAAAGACCAGGTTGCTGATTTGCTCACCAAATCACTAAACTCTGATCAATTCTTCCATTTATTATTCAAGATGGGGATACATAACCTGTTCTCCCCATCTTGAGGGGGAGTTTTAGCCGACAATTTCTGAATACTTTTTCGGCTCATCTGAAGAAAGGTCCCGACATCCTTTTAGATGTATATGTTCGTTGGTTATTTGCAGATTGTACTACCGTTTCCTTAGAGTAATCATAAGCTAGAGTTGTAGATGTAGCTTTAGCAAAACCCATTCTTTGTATATAACCAGTGTAAGACAGAAAGGAAATACAAGGAGAAAACTTTCCAAAAACTCTCTCTCTCTCGTTTATTTTTTCTCTCAGCTCCGCATCCTCTGTTCTTCGTTCTTCTTCGCTGCTATTCAAAATCCAGTAAAGAGACCTTCTGCATAAAGATCAAAATGGTATCAGAGCATCAAACCTGGGTACGATTCTGATCTTCCTGTTATCCCCTTTCCCGATTTCTTCTCCTTTCCTTCTTTTAACCTAGACTGCCCTACTTTTTCTCGGTAACCATGGCCGACAATCCTTCTACTCCGACCTCTTCCATGTCTGGCGATAATACCCAGACACAATCTCTTCAAAACCCTGATCCATACTCCAACCCTCTTTTTCTCCACGCTGCGGATTCATCAAGTATTGTCTTGGTGTCTGAAAAATTGCTTGGCGAACAGAACTACAACCTGTGGTCGCGTTCAATCACAAAAGCCATGCTAGCGAAGAACAAACTCGGATTCATCAATGGCACGCTTGCCCAGCCATCTGAGACCCATCCCGACTTTGGTGCTTGGTCCAGATGCAATGCCTTGGTCTGTACCTGGTTGACGAACTCTGTTTCGTCGGAGATCGCAAGCCTGCTGCTGTACATCGACGATGCTCATGTCATTTATCGATTCCCAGACTCTCCTTCATTCAGTGGGAAGCTCTCTTGCGCCGGTTGCCGACGAAGGATAGGCTGAATAGATGGGGACTGATCTCTTCTTCCACTTGTGTGCTTTGTGACACAGAGGATGAATCACATGACCACTTATTTTTTCGTTGTCACTATAGTGAAGCAATATGGAGTCTGATGGCTGGAAAAATTTGGCCACTTCCGCCAATGACACTTGATGAATGCATTAGCTGGTTTTCTAATCCTGCGCACAACAAATCCAGGAATAGAGAGCAATTGGCAAAGATGCTTCTTCAGACGACGATCGAAGCAATATGGTATGAGCGCAACCAACGCATATTTTGCAACAAACGGAAGCCGCCGGGAATTGTTCGAAGAAAAATCGATAAATCTGTCCGAACAGCGCTCTTAGCGTTGGGTTTTCGGAAACCTGACTCAACTTCATCATTGTTGGAGGATTGGTACCATCTCGACATATACCACCGAAGTGTAGCTGCTATTACTTAATCTTTATTAGACTATGCTCATGACCCAAATATGGGTTTTTGTATTACCACTTGCCATGGGATCCCGGGTTCTTTTGGGTTTTGCGGATTAAAATCCGAGTTGTAAATTTTTCTAACTTTTACAATTAATATACTTCACATTTCATCAAAAAAAAAAACATATATAGGTTGATGTAAAAATTTTATATTGAAAATATGTAAATAAATCAACCGAAAGATATAACACGATGTATTTTTTTTTCGAATATAAAATTTCAAGATAATACCATGTATTTAAATAAAATATAAAAAAATTAATATAAAATATTATTTTATTTTGGGGAGATCTATTGTAACGACCCAAAATTTGGTTTCGTACCAAATGAATCGTCACTTGGGTTTTAAAAAGAAAGATTCGATTTATTCTTAATCAAATAATAGAATCCCAAAATCTGCAGCGGATCACCGCCGTAGTCGGGGTTATCACTCCACATGTATCGATGTCATGTCCGGGTCGTTATGCCATCACATACAGATCGTCGCCGTACCATGGCTTCAAAACTCAACCAATAGTCATAATCATCTACGGATCGCCGTCGTATTCGAGGTTATAACTCCACATGAAACGCAGTCACATCCGGGTTGTTATCATATTATCACATACGGATCGGCGTCGTACCATGGTCTCAAAACTCACTTTGAAATATTTATAGCACAGTCTGATATCACATCATATAGTGTCTAACTCAATTATTTACTTCTTCCATCTTTCCAAATCTATATATATTAATAATTGTGTTTAAAGGTTTGTGGTGAAGCCACCTCATCCTCCACCTCATTATCTATGTGGTATTTTATTTTTAATTTTTCTATATCATTTAAAAATTCATTAAACTAATGCGTAAATATACATAAATCTATATATATTAATAAAGATGTTTAAAGGATTGTGATGAAGACACCTCATTCTCCACATTATCCATCATCATCTATGTGGCATTTATTTATAAATTATTATTATCAACATTAGTTATTTTATTAGAATACTAAAAATTATACATGAAAATAGGTTTTTTGAAAGAAAAAAATAGGTGATCACATACAACAAAAAAATGTCAGCGTATTATTATAGTTTAAAAAAATCATTTTATTATATAAAAATTCATTTTGGCTTTAGCGTTACATATTGGAAAATATTTTTTTAATAATATAGCTATAGCTATATACAATTGTCATTTTAACTTGAATCTAAAAATAATGAAATAATTCCATTCTACTGAAAATTTTGTTTATATAAGAATCACAAAATCTTTATAATATTTAGAATAAAAAATCATAAAAATATTTAAATTATAATAAATAATATTAATACATATAATTATATGAGAAATGTTATTCTATATTGAGAAATTTCATTTTATTATAATAAAAATAACAAAACAAATATAACATAAAAATCTTGAGGTGATGATATAAAAAATAAACTGTCAATAAATTATTATAGTTTAAAAACAGAAAAAAATATTATAGCTAAAAATCTATATATATTAATAAAGAAGTTTAAAGAGATTTGGTGAGAACACATGGGATCCACCTCATCATCTATGTGGCATTTCTTTTAATTTTTATTTGTCATTTAAAAACTCAAATATATATATACTCACAATAATACTTATAATAAAACATGAATTAAATGTTAAAAGGAGTGGAGGGCAATATACATTCAAGTAACGTAATGGCATTTGTTTTTATTTTTAATCGTCATATATATATACACACAATAATACTTGCAATAAAACATGAATTAAATATTAAAAGGAGTGGAGGGCAATATACATTCAAGTAACGTAATGGCATTTGTTTTTATTTTTAATCGTCATATATATATACACACAATAATACTTGCAATAAAACATGAATTAAATATTAAAAGGAGTGGAGGTAAATGTAACGTAATGATAAAAGAGTGGAGGAAAACTTAAAATCACTAGAAATGACTATAAAAGTTAATTGTTTATTCATAAAACAAATTGTGATTGATACTTTTACGTTTATTTTGTTCATTTTCTGTTCGTTTTTTAATTGACATTTTTTGTCCTTTTTTTTTGCAGTGCACCACTTCCAAGAATTCATATTCTCAGGGAAAAACAGCTATTTTGCTCATTGTGAATACCATATCTTGAGTTGAATTTGTGAAGAGTATTAGAAAAATACGATTGTATGATGAAAAAGGTTCCGTCATTTGAGAATGTACATTTATATGCAAGTCTTTAGGTTTTGGTTGTTTCTTTATGGTTTGTGTTTGTGTTGTGAAAAAAACTTCCATCGCGATTATCTGACACTACAAAAAACACTCACTTTTCCGAGGGAATAATCCGTCGCACTAAAGAGGAATTTCCGTCAGTATACCTGGTTTGCGACGGACATCGACGGAATAAGTTCTGTCCGTTAATGGTTGTCGCAAACATATCCCGGTCTGCATCCGTCGCATAATTGCGACGGAAAAAACCCGTCGTAAGTCAGTCGTTTTTAGCGACGGAATATTCCGCCGGTAAAAGCGACGGCCTAACCATCGCAATGTAGTCGATATGATCGACGAAAACTCCGTTGTTTTTCCATGGTAAACGCGACGGAAATTCCGTTGTTCAGTCATCGCTTTTACCGACGGAATCTCCGTCGTAATTCCGTCGTATGTTGCGACGGATCTTCCATCGCACACTGGTCGCAAAGAGGGACGGGAGGATTGGTCGGATATTAGTCGCAAATTAGCGACGGCCGTTAATGACAGATTTATCCGTCGGTATAGTATAGCGACGGGTTTTCCGTCGCTACGTAGCTACGGAAAGCGGCGGAAGATTTTCGTAGGATTTTTCCTTCCTTATGCGACGGAATAATCCGTCGCATAAGGAATTTTATTCGAAAAAAATAAAAATTTCGTTTAAAAAAAATAATTATACAATAATATTATAAAAAACCGAAATTATTTTATATATTACAAAATTGAAATCTAACGAAATAAATTGTCTGGGAAATTGTCCGGGAAATCATCGAGATTTTGGGGATCGAGATTTTACGGATGTTGCTCGTCTTGATGAACCGATGGACCGGGATTGACGGCGGAACTCAGAGCAGACGAACCGGCGGAATCGGTCGGAGGCATAAAACGTTGCATCATCTCCTCTAACCGAGCGATCTTCGCCTGAGCTACATCAAACTGAGCAATCTTCTCCCGAGCAGCTACAAGTTCCGCAGAAGTCTCCTCGTGTTTTCTCTTCAGCTCCTCGACTTCACGCGTCAGAGATATATGACGTACCACGGACGACGAAGATGCGTCACCACCCCCGAGCTGACTCGCCAACGCACCAATCCCGTAAATCCGACCTTTCGCATCGGGAGGAACGACCTTCAAAACAATATGTAAATAATATTTAAACTCTAACATATTATATTATTTTAAATACAAAAATTACCTCGAGATACAAGCTGTTGATTTCCTGTGAAGTCAATTGCGTTGAACCGCTGCTCTTGTCCATCGTCATTCGATCGGTAATCTTCGATTGAATGGCTTCTTCAATTTCTTGGGCACGATGATCTACGTACGTCCCATCCGATC